GTTTAGGTTGTGACACTGACGTTAAAGCAAGGTTTGGTGACACCAGGCTCCTCAATTCCAACACTGATTGCTATGTCAACGGATCCCGAACCCCGTATTCGGTCGAGTGTTGAGCGTGCGCTCAGGGATATTGATTCGAAATATTCGGGCATGGTCATGGTATGGGTTTTTTGAATACTTATTCCTTCATTTCAGGTGGGTAACTGTGATTCAGTGCTGTGGTACTTTCTTTTTCTGAATCTAAGGACTTAACTTTTGTAATATTGTGGCTTATGTTTGTGTGCTTTCAGAGTAAGGCAATTACCGGCATACGCCAAGCGTTTCGTTTGCGAAAAATTCTAAAGATTGATGCCAATAATATCGTACGAGGTATACGTTCTCTTGAACTTTTGCCAACGCCATCAACTTCGGGTGAGTGTGGGGCACTTTCACTCTTGTAATTTGAAGTAAAAATTAACATTTGCGTCATAATGAGTCGATTTTGAAGTATGAAGGATTGACTTGTGCAAATTTGAATTTTTTTGGCGTCAAACGCAAAAACCGTGTCAAAGCACGGAATGTTTTATTCTGTGTGAGAATTTGGTATTCCGAAATATCCTGTTGGGTGTCGCATACCTAGCGCAGTCACCTTCTGACAGCGATATCGGCTTTTTCTGTGAATCGCTGTAAAAATAAATTGAATATTGTTAACGGAAACAAATTGGTTGTTTCATAGAAGCTAGTTTCTGCTGTGAACTTGAGCTTGAATGTAGGCACTGCTAACCGTCATAATAAGCTTATCAGCTTTCAGTTAAAAAAGGCCAAGATCTCCCAATATTTAACAGTTAAAGCCCACAACCCTGTATTATTACTGCCTTCTTTATTGCCGTATTCAGGATCTGTAGAAAGTTCGAAAGCGAAAGTTTTTCATCGCGTTCCTGAAAAGACCGCTAATGGGCAGGCTATGCTGTCTGGACTTTATCAAAATTTGCGAGGTGTTCGGCAGCAACGGAGAAGCTTCCTCTCATCTGTTCTT